CATCGTGGCTCATAAACTGCAATCGATTAAATAAGAACTTGAAATTATATATTATAACTAAATTGAATCGTATACCATGCAGTGAAAATAAATGCAAAAATAGATTCGTAACACTAACGAAAAAATCTACTGATGGCATCAAACTTTAATATGTATTAATGAAATCGAAATAGTGCAAAGCGAAAATCAATATATTTAATTTGAATAAATAAAGAAAATAAAAATTACAAAAAAACTTTTATGCGTTTGTTTATTAGTCTGCTAAATCTGTCATACAATCGAATTTCAAAAAATTTGAACATGAAGATATTTCACCTTGTCTTTGTTTTAATAGATTGTTTAATGAGCGACGGAAAGAGCGTTGATATGAGTTGTGATGGTGAAGTATTTTACTCCGACCGAGGTCTCTTTACATAATTCAAGGACCGATATATGGGTCTCATATCTCGGTGATGTCTATGATTTAACAGATTTATGTAGCCAGCATAAATGTAAATAATTTGTTTATAAACCAATTTAATAAATCAGTACATATTTTAAACTAGACATTTTTAGGTGAACGCTTTTAAATTGCTTACTAAGTGAAATATATCAAAAGATTTAAGTGTATAAAAGATCTGTATGTTTTAGATGATGACTTAATTAAGCCAATTTTGGCTGCTGCTGGAACCGATATATCCCATTGGTTTGACCCCAAGACGGGCGATCTTAAAACCCACATTGACCCGATAACTCTTACTCGTGTTCCTTACACTCCTCATGGACGTTTCCTTCATGTTCCGCCACCTTATCCGACATCAGATTGGCCGAATGATTTCGTTGTGCCGTGGTGGAAGGATAAAAGATACCAGATTGGCAAATTAACTAAGAAGGCTCGTACCATAAAAATTACCAATGCTCTCACGAGGATTGAAGATATAATTGAAGTAATTTCATTTGTTTTGATTGCTACTTAATATATGATTTAGTTTCTGCAAATAACAGTAATAATTTTCTCAAAGGTTTGTTCCGAAGAAACCATGTTGGCCATTCTGGATCGCTACTTGCAATGCAACGCTCACGCAGCATCTTACACTTGGAAATATGCCAATGAGGTTCTTGATTTGGACAAAACTCTGGAAGAAAACGGAATATCTGATCAAGACGATATGTTAGAGGAACTTCTTTTAAATGTGGACGACTTTATTCCAGAGATACTTCTCTACTATAATGATGACCTCACAGAAGCCTAAGATGTTTAGGAAATAAAAAGTACATATTTATTTAGAAGATAAGTTAAAAAACAATTGTGGCATATTTCATAAATACGTTCTTATAATGACCAGATTTTCTCAGGTTGGCTGAGTCCTCTTAAAATTCATTAATGTTAACTGCAATAAATTACAGTAGGAATTATAAAAACAATCAACATTTCTCGAATAATTATTTTTACAAATGTAATTTTGAATGCAGGAAATAATTATCACGAAATTTGATGGCTAGAACTGCCCAAATGTTAGGTCTGTTGAGTCTGCACATGTCACCTAAACCTCCGGTAATAGCCCTGAATCCGATTTCTTAAAAACACAATATCATCGACAAAAATAAAGATTTTAACCAGATAAGAGTAGCGCAGCCTTAAAATTAAATAAATATGCTTTAAAATTAATACTATATAGTAAGCTAGTAATGGAGATGAACAAATCGTCGAAACAATTGGATGATAATCAGTTACTCTCGAATAAAAGTCGATTGTTTTTCTCCAGACTTGATTGTACCTTAACGCAGAGTTCAATATAATTTGTGAGCTTCGTAAAGTTAAACTTCGTCAGAATAAGGGTACACTACTCTAAAAGGCCTATATGATTAAATAATTCTGTTATCCAAGTTACTGGAAATTCGTAATTTTATTTTCCATTAATTTTGAGGTTGGGTTAAAATTTAATGATATAGCAAACTAAATAAGTGTTGCTTATTTATGTAGTAAAAAACTAAATGATGCCTAGTTGTTTGCTGCTAAAAATTCAAATTGTCAATTTCGTTTGTCTGAACACTTTGAAGGTAAACAATAGTTTTGACTGCATATATACGATGTCAAACGAGGGGGTGTGCGATAGACTTACCTCCACGTGGTGCACCCTGGGCAACGTAAATTCATACGGCAAAAAAGTCTATTAATTGGCAGTTGACTTCTCACTTCAAACTACCACCACCTCATTCTATGCCATATTCGACCATTTCCATAGTACTCACCTCAATCTTTTTTCTACCGTTGTGTTTGTCTCTTATATCTTTGAAACACTCTTCAATTCCCCCCCCCCTTCTCGACTTATTCAATTTGATGTTCCTTCCCCTCTCTGAAGCCTGAAGTCAACTAAAGGGCTAATGATAATCAATAAGACGCCTGCCATTTGATATATATAGGTCAAACGAAAAGATAAGGTGTTACCAAAATAATCTCATAAGAAGCTGATTGGTTGTGGCTACTAATTACTACTTGGAAGCCTCGGCGACGGGACATGAATGAAGTATCACGAAGAAATATTTTTTCATGAACTTTATATTTATGTTAATTAAATAAGATTAGTTTTCAGATCACAGACAATCTATTTCAGTAAAATGATAATACCAATTTATTCAAGGTGGCTTACAGTATCTACCCATTAGAGTAGACTTTAAGTACTAAGGGTTATAATTTATTAATAGAACTTCTTGAATTTATACCAAATAATGGCTATCATTAGCTATTAGTTGATTTAGAGCTTCACAAAGGGAAGAGACATCAAAGTCACAAAAAGTTGATAGAGACCAAAGGAGTGATTTACACATGTGAGAGAGACGGACACAATTGTAGAGATAAAGGTAAGGTGGGTACCGTAGAAGCAGTGAAATATGGCATTCTGCGGGGTCTTGGTAGTTTGAGGCCAGAAGTCAACTGACGATTTACAAACGTTTTTTTGCCGAATGAGAATACGCTGCCGAGGGTCCACCACGGGGAGATAAGTCTGTCGCACCCCCCTTGATAATTATCTTAAAGCCTGCAATTTGTTACTAAAATATGGGCAAGATAATAGACCACTGGGTTCACTCTTTAATGCCTGTACTAATGAAATTGCATTTATAGAAAAATATTTAAATATGATAAGGCAATGAAATGACAATTGAAATATTACATAATAATTCCCAGGTGGTTGGTAATGTTAGACACTAGAAGAACGTTTAAGTTACCTAAAATTCGAAAAGAGCAATTGATTGGCATTAATAACCTTAGCTGAATATATTTAGACTATGAGTACTGAATATTTTATGAGCTCAAAAATACCTGTTGATAAAATCTGGTATCATTTAAGGTAGACAATAGTTGTAGTGGTTCAAAATAAACTGTCAAGGATCATACACATATCAGATTTATATAAAATTTTTGCATTGTACTAATTAAAATAAAAAAAGCAAATCTAAAATAAGTTATTTTATTTTGTTTTAAACTACTGATACGTTAGCGCCTTCTTTGATCGCAATCTATATTGTTTGCACAATCCGATACCTATATAGATCCTCACTTAAAATTCTATTAAGGTAAGATTAACTGAGCCCAAGTGCATCCCATTTGGTATACTCTTTCATTCATTTTTTATGAAACTAGTTTTACTGTTTAATTTAAAAAAATTTTATAGGTGTTTATTTTCAATTACGATCAATTTTTGTTGTTTATATCCTTTAAATTACAGGACGGGTATCTGCTTGTCGGCTTTATTTATCCAAGATGTTTCCTCGCTATTTTCCGTATGGTCAGTCTTCCTCGGTTCCCAATTTAAATAATATTGGATTGGGTCTCGGTCTTCCCCTAGATACCACCTCCATCGCACCTGCGCAAGATTTTTCCTCCCTTCTCTTATCTGCTCAAGCGGGTCTCCCCAATATGGCACAACTTCAAGCTGCCACACCTCAATTCTTCCTCCCTCAAACAAATCAAATTTTTACCGGTCTTCCTCTCTCAAATACACTGAATCCGCTCGTGAATCCTCCATTCAGTCTTTCGCAAATGTTTCCTTTATTCAATCCCGCTCTTCTCCAACAACCAGCACACCAAATCCATTCTTCAGATGTGTCAACATCCGCATCGGATAACTCAGATTCACACACCATTGTCCGCGCCCCGGTTCTCTATGGAAACAGTAGTAGCGGCGACACAACCTCTCAGGTACGGATTTATTCTATTTTGTTTCAGATTTTTATTCACAAAATTTCGTTTCGGATTCCTAATATTGCATCATATGCATGCTTCGTATGCACAGCATTCTGTTAGTGTACACCAAATTATGTTGAGTTGTTTTGCGATACCTAACTCTTGAACGCTATATGTCATGCTTTTGATTACCCTTTATTTTCTCTTATTAGTCTCTGCATGCTAACTAGTTAACTTCAGGTCTGGTTAACATCGTTTTGGTGTTTGGAACTTGTTCCATTTTTTGGTTCTCTCCCACTTACACTTCTTATCTTCAGGCCCGTCTTCCCCATTCTTTCTCCACTTCAGCACAAAGAATTATCCAAGTAAGCTCCGAACTGAAAACTCGGCATCAATGTTTTGTGCGTGTGTGTATGGATGTCTGGGCGCCTCTTTTTTTGTTAATGCAAAAATCTTGTAGGTATTATTTTTTACAGCCGTGATCGTCAATTCAATCCGCTCACTTGAAGGTAGAGTTTATCGCCCAGAAATCAAAAATCCCATGCAACAATAGCACCCCGTAGTACTGTGTTTGTAACAACTTTCCTTCCCCCTTTTGCACGATTAACCCATCCTAATTTTGTGCATGCCATTTAGCACCCTCAACTGCTATGCTACATTTGCTCTTTCTATATTTGTGTGCCTATAAGTGCATCTCTTCTTTTTCGGTCATCTGAAAAAAATACCTAAACTCTTGTCCTACTTGGCTTCTGTGATAACTACTTCTCGTCTTGTATTTTAGGCGCCTAAGGAATCGACTAAAACTAGTCCACCTGAACAAATTGTTGCTTCATATGCGGCTGCGGCACAAGCGGCAGCTATTGTGCATCGTCAACCACTTTCAAACGCTGCAGAAGTCTTTCTTAACACAGCGGCATCGGCTGCTAGTACACTGGCGAGCTTGAATGGAACTGGGGTTACTACAGCCAAAAATAGACCAAGACGGACGTCTATTGGCGGGTACAGTGCTCCCATCTCTGCTTCTGCTGCCGTTATTACTTCTACTGCTCCTGGTGCTTCTACCGAAAACGTCAAGAGTGCTAAGCCTCCTCTTCCGTGGAACAGCGCTTGGACACGTATGGTTGATCGTCAGGCAGACGTTGTAGTCTACATATCGTAAGTTTTATTAATTTGGTTATTACTACAGCGTTTTTTGTTTTGATCCTCTTGGAGGGAATATCGGGCTCATTGAATTTGAAATACTCTCCTGCTAATCGGGTTAGCCAATTTAATTTCTTGGATATCTACTTTCTATTTTATTTTCTCACGCATTTCAGATTTTATGTTATAGATTGTTTTAGGAGCACTTAGGATTGTTGCTAGGAGCACATATATATTGACTAACTTTTCAAATTACGATGAATCCCACTTTATCGAACACGAGAAAAATGAAGGCAAATACCAAGTTTTGGCAGGGTTTTATTTACCCCATTTTCTAGGAGGTGGCTATCTTTTATCAATCGAGCTCGTATAATGTTATTTAAGGGAGATTGATTGCTTATGTATTCACAAAAAATGTGGTATTACTCCTGTTTTCTGCTTACGCCTTTTCGTTGATCTGATTGATCTAATTGTCACACTTGAGCATGTAAATTAAGGCAAACCAATCGATTCTCCTTTTTAGGCATGTAACCCATTAATGGTTCAACTTAACTCGTCCTAATTTTTGTGAAGAGAATGGTTGCAGATCTAGTTCGATTTGATTCTTAAATTAGCTTTTACTTCTAAATTGCCCTCTACAAATATAGCCAGTTAATTAAATAATCAAATAGCATCTTTAAAGGAATCTAAGAGAGTTTAATTTTCATCTCTCGTGTACGTTGTTGGCATTTTCTTTTGTCCCCAAGTTGTTTTTTATCTAACTGTCTTTAATACATTTAAGTTCGCACTTTCGATGTAACTTTGTGTATGTTAATCGCTAGAGGTTATTTTCTACCTTCCCCACTACACAGTTGCATCAGCACCTTAATCTTGTCAAATTATTGTTCTTTAGGAAATTCTAATTGCAACAACAGTCAATTACTGGTAGTGTGCTAATATAAGCACATTGAGTGCGATGTTTGGATTACACAAATGACGCCTTATCTTGCATGAAATACACTCAAATAGTTAGCACGCGTTATTAGCAATTTTACATGCTCATTAGCTTATTTATAGGTGGGAAAAATGTGAACCAGCCCCTTATACTGCTGAAATATGTCAAATAGATTCTATAAGTGGAAACAGCACGATGATAGCTGAAAAGCTGTTTCCTATTTACGTACTTAAGGCTAGGAATGTGTAGCTATCTTTGTATTAATTAAACACTGCCAATGGCATAGCCTTCATGCTATGCCTGAATATGAAGAATGACTAGGATCTCCTAGTGGCTTTTTTGCCGCACACTGTTAGCGGTCACGAGATGTTTGCTAAATAAGTCGCAGCCAGCAATTGATAGTGCCTATTGTTTACTTTTATCTCCCCTGGTCATTTTGCCTTTATTTGTAATTGCCACCTGTAGGGTACTTTTGACCTTGTCGGCTATTTCGCCTTCAAGCTCTATTCGAAGCCTTGTTTGAATGCCCTGATTAAGTTGACACTTTTTCTGTGTTAAAATTATGCCGAGTGCCGAAGCCATTGCTAGATAGGGGATTTTTTATGTGAAGCACACTTAGTTCACTCGAGAAACTAAAGCTATTCGAAGGTTTTTCAGGGTGGGTTTGTACAACAATGTCAACACAAAGCCCTCATGTAGTTTTCTTCATTTGGGTTAGAACCCAGGGGAAGCCTGGTAACTTAAAAAACCTTGTTTTGATGTCCACCGGTGCAAATTAAGTGAACAAGTTGGCTAATCCCTTTATTTAAGTCGGATGAATAATGGAGTGGAAGAATTGGAGTTTCTTACCATGATGGCTTCATGATTCAAACCCCCAACTCAAAGTGAGTGTTGGAAAACACTTGCTTAAATAGGCTTAGTAATAGCATGTGATTAATAACTTTATTTGATAAAATGGGAGAGTTAATGTCGGGACCAGCCGGTTTGGATTCAGCCTAGTTATATAATTGATAGCCATTGACAGCCTAAGGCTCTAATTAGTACTTATTAGAGTCGCTATTAACCCACATTATAAGCTTATACGGGTCGTAAACTATCGATTAGATTGGATTGTGGTCTGAGGTCACTGCTCTTTTACAATTCCCAATTAGAGAAGTATCAGCTGCACTTTGGTTAAATGCCGGTAGGTATCCTTGAGCCATCAACGTTAACCCAGCTTCTACATTTTCCATTCTTACTTATGCGCTAATAGATATCGATATCTTTCCGAACATACACACTTCTCTCTGCATAAAATGTCACAGTAATTTTCACTTTTTACTTCATTTACTAACGTTCTTCTATACTTTGCTTGTGGGGATTAATCTTGTTTATTTACTAGCAAGCGTTAAATAGTGGTAGTGAGTCAATGAGTTTCTAGTCCATGTTGGGAAATTAAATTAGACCTTCACACATTCTTTAATTTCCACAGCAACTTGACCTTTTGAATGCCGCTCTACACCACCTACTTGTGGTGTCCTGCACCTTGGCTTACATTTAGGCTTTCAATATGCCGCCCTTTCAATTGCTATGTTCCTAGATCTGACTGCTTAGATGTATCGAGGCCACACCTAATCATCTTTTCTGTCTGAATGGGGACAGCTTACTTTCTCCTTTTCAATAAGTTATCTTTACTGTTGTAAAATTATGTAAGTTTCACCTAACTTTTAAGTTAAAAAACGCGAAACCTATGCAACTCAGCGTTGGTCTTTTTTTACCTACTCTCAATCCTACTGCCCACGCTCTTTCTTTAAAATGAACTTTCTTCTTTCCCTGCGCGTTTATATGTTACGATAACAGTTTGGCAGCTTTTTACATCGTGAAGGAAATGTGTCAACTGCTTGTATATCAACTTTCTTAGCCACTTAATCTATATCTAGGTTAGAATGTAGTCTTTAAGTATGCACCTTGTTCTATGATTCATCTGGTGTCCTTACAACAACTTTATCATTTCGTTTCTGCCCCTTTAGAATTAATCCATCCACGCATGTGAATTGTTGGGAAGTGCAGTAAGTTTACAGATTTTAACTACCGGTGTGAATCTTTAATGCCAAAAAGAAAACTTTCTTCATTCTTCGAGGCATGTATGGGATTGAAGTGTGCAGGCGATATTTTCCATTGTACTTAATTAAGTAGTTAACGGTACTTAGTCTGCCGATTCAGATCCCATGCCCATCAAAATGTAGTAATTGAAGTAAAGGATCAATATTCGTTAGACTTTGTGTCGATTATGGGTTTCTCTTTGCCCTCCAAATTAATAAGTAATAGAAATTAATGTTAACGCGGTGTGTGTAATGCATTTTATCCATTTGCCTTTTAGACGCTCGTTTTCCTATTTAATTATCCAAATTTTCCATCTAACCGGTACTGTTGATCATTCTCCCCACTTATTGACGTCACAGCCTAAACAAGGTTTTTTCCCGGATTGACGTTCATTCCGAGTCTTAATTTGGTAGTCATGTTCTTGCATCACGGTCACGAGCTATGAAAATTTTTTCTTTTTCCTTTTCACGTGTGCAAAATTAGGCCTCTTTGGGGTCATTGAAGTTACCTTTTCCTCCCTAATCGATTGAACTGCTGCAGCGTCAAGTTATGTGGTGTGCGCGTAGGTGGCCATTTATATGTGTATGGGCTTCATTGCGTTGCAAAACCAATAACTTTATGATGAATTTGACGTCTTGTTTTTGCAGACCTGGCGGTTCACGCCTGAAAAGTGTGGCCGACGTACGCGCACACTTGGAGCATTTTTTGCCTGCCGATAAGGCCTCCGTCATCTCAGATGACTGCATCAATGCCAGCTTCTGTTTTGATGCCACGAAGGAGTCACGTTATATCTCCGCACCGGATGATTCCATCTTCGTCTTCTCAGAGGATGAGTCAGCAACTATTGCAGTTAGTGATATGGACACTAACGATAATATTCATGCTGCCGATTTAAGTAGCATTGCAGAACCACAGCCGTCAACTAATTCTGCTGCCTCTTCTTCGCCCGTACCACAACGCGCTACTTCTAGTTCTGGGGATACGTCTGCTACCATGTCTACTGCTACTAATACTCCTGTTAGTACTCCTGCATTGGTAATGGTGGAGAGTGAAACCGTACCAACGTCAATTAATGGCAATGGCGAAGTGTCGACTGCAGTCGGAGCTTTAAAGCGGCCGGGTTAGTGGAAATCTATTTCGTTAAACTAATTAATGTGCTTTTTTGATATCAAGTATGTCCTATGATCATCGAAAAATTGTATATTTTGTTGATCTTACCTCATCCCAACTTCCTTTAGTAATGTAAATGACAGCATATATAGTTAGTAGATATTGGCTAAAGTTTGCGATTCTAATTACCAAGTCTATTAGATGTGGTTTTCAGCACTCACCTTGAGTTAAGGGTGACTTCGTTGATCTTATATAGGGAGAAACTCAGATTTTGCCAGACCTAGCCAGTGTAGTTGACCACTCACTGGATGTGCAATGATGCACATTGAACCCGTAATCTCTAATTTTCTGCATTTCGCACACAATCTATGATTATTTAACAATGTAGAGTTAATTAAATTTCACGCATAGGGTGGACTTTGGTAAGTTCAATAACTTTATGAGTTGTAGTTCGGGGGTCAATGGATTCAATTCCAATCGACTCACATTCGATGAGCAAGATGACCAATCGCCATCAGCTTGTCTAGTAAAAGAGTTCACAGAATTTGGGTCTGACTATATCCAAGATGAGTGTTGGAAAATGCTTTTCTGACTGGATTTGGGAATTATTGTGATTATAACTAGAGTTAATTAATAAATTATTTCTCTATGCTTTTGAGTGCAGATTTATCATTGTTATACTCGTTTATTGTAATATATTAGCTCAGGATATGGCTTCGAACTGAACCCCGTTATATTGCCGCGCACATATATTGCAGTGTAGATGCATACGACTGCAATGAAATACCACGCCTAATCTAGCGATTTAATTATCGAATTGTGTGTACGCCACTCGTGTCTCCCAATTAACCAACCAATCCCCTGCTGGCCTTCACGTCGAAATGCATAAGATTTCAAATATCTTGGCTCGTGTTTGCCTAATTTGTAAATGGAAACCCAAAAACTATTAGTTGCCTCGATTTTAAATATACAACTGCATCGCCCATGGTAAAGCTGTTTTTGTCGCTAATAGTCTACCCTCTTCGATATGGCCTTTGTATCCACTGCTATCGCTGCAGTTATTTAGTCTCGACGAAGGAATGTAAAACAACGAAGGCTTCACTTTATTAGAAGAGTATATGCTTATACGTAGTGTCTGTTTATGAGCTTTGTTGACTAGCAGGGTAAGAAAACCTCTTCCCCAACTACATCCATGGAAGAGTGCTAGTGGGAAAAATTGTTTACATAACTTTGTGTTCTGTCTTGGGCATAAAAGGATTTGCATATGCCTTCTGTCATCATCTTGATGACTATGTGTAGCTATATGGTTTTATCGCTGTAATTTTTTTGTATGAAGGCCAAGAGGGATGGGTATTCAGGGTTTAATTATTGAATTTATTGATTAATAATTAATCAATCGACTGCCCTTGTTGTCAGAACACATCGGAATTTGAAAAACTCCTTATTTGGAATTTCAGCTTGTGCCTGTCTGGGTGCATAATTGCAATATTCAACGTCAAGGAGGTGCTATTTCCTTAACCATTTTTATTATCACTGGAAAAAGAACATCAAGACGTTCTTTCTACTTTTTTTGTACGTTTCATACGAGATCAATAATTCTATAGTTGTGGACTTGTGTAGTTAGAGAATTGAATCTTGTTTTCTTCTTTATACTTCAAATTTTGAGCTTTTAGCACCTCCTACGCGCAAAGCTTATTGACAAATCGGTTTAATCTTATATTAAGAGATGTTTGCTTAATTGGAGTAATTGATGCCACTAGAGCTAGTGCATATTGTAGCATTGCCCCCACTCCCTCCCCCCTCCCTTGCCCAGACTACCAGTTTTATCTGTCGAATATTTGCCTTTGTTTTCGCCTTGTCTTATCTGTCTATGTGCTGCTGGTTATTTTTTATGCTCAGTCTATTTAAATAATTCTCCTATGTTGTTATTTCGTTCCACCGTGCATAGTGTTCATTTGCGCAACTAATTCATCCTATTGGTCTCTTCCTTATTGACTTATTGCATCCAATTAGTGGGATGAACAGTCTTTCTGGCCAAATAATGGATTGTGAAAAACGGATTTCTCGCCAATTTATTTCTTTTAAACGGTTGGAAATTGGTTTTATTTCGAATGGCTCAATTATAATAAGCCATGCGTTTAAGTTTTCATTGCTGAGTTGCGAAGCCCTTTAGTTCGATCCTTCAAGCACCTCTCTCTAATGGTGTTTCGGGCCGCTATATTTTTGCCCTTTTTGTAAATCCCCTCTTATTTATTAGGTGCACTTTGGAATTTTGATTTTCACCAAGAATTCGCATTATCCAGACTGACCGTACCTGTTGAACACTCCTTCCGATGAATGAATACAGGTAGTTTTGTGAGAATGTACTTTAGAGTATAGGGAATTTTAGGAAAAAAATCGAATTTTCTATGTTCATTCTTGCATCTAGATGTGTTGTCGTTAAATGTGCAGATGTGCCGGTTCTATTAGCTATTAAGGTTCGTCTTTGCTATCTTTCTTTATTTTCCATATCCTCCTTTTATGTCCTCTGTGTTTCTTTTCTTTTCAAAACTTCCTTTTTCTAAAGTGTCAATGCTCAAATGTCAGATTTTGTTCCTGTTTCCTGATTGAATTCAGGTTTTGTGGTCCGTGTTCAAAGCTTACAGATCGTTTTACTGCAATCATATCGACAACCTTTTTTGTCAGCAATCAGGGTTCTAACTTACGTATTTTTAACATATCATATGCTGATCTTTTGGTAACATTTAATACTTTTAACGTTGCGTTCACATTAATGTTCGATTGATTTTAAGAGATAAAATTGTGCATAGCTGAGTTTATGGAATTATTAACGTCAAATTAAATTAAATATGTTCCGTAGACTCATTAAAGAAGTTAGCGCCAACAATTGCCTTCTTTACTTTTCAGACCTCGAAAGGCCTAGGACTTTGTTAATACTCTAGCTCGCACTTCCACCTTCACTTCCTCCTTTTTTACTCTCTGCTATCTTTCCTATTCCAAATTTTAGATGTTTCTCTAGAGATAGAGTGGCGTTTCCCCGCTTCTTCGTAGTTAGCAACGACACTTAACTAATCCATGCAATAGTCCACATGTGTTCGGATCGCTGCAATACCCTGGTGTATGTTGACTAACTAAAAGGAGGTTAAATTAGAGCTTCTCAGAGAAGTGTGTGTGGTAACCAATTATTTGCCTTCGAAAGTATTCTCTAGTTACCACTGTTTCTAATCATCTTAATTGGCGTTCCTTCGTGGATAATGAATGCATAGCGTTTCCACACCCGAATTGCCACTACTTAATTACTCTTTCTGTATGGAAGTAATTTGATTTATTGCTCTCTGTATTGCCTTCCTGCATTTTGTTTATCTTTTGCTGTCATTCCCTCACTGTCAATTTTCTGGCTTTTAGCCTGTTGATTGAGATTCTTTTCTACCCTTTTCGTCCTTTGCAAGTGGGAGGCATCGCTCTTATAGAAAATTCACACTCTATCAGCTCTTTTCTGAATTCGGTTAGCAAATCGCTACAAAGAATAGTTTTCCCTTGTTTTCAGATAATTTCCAGTTATTCATGCCTCAGAGGGGGAGAGAGGCAGGGGCCGGATCAGACATCATTGGCCATTTTTCGACATAACTTGAAACCCATTTATGTTACGGAAATCGGTTTGTTCTTATTCAACGGTTATTTGGCTTCCGTGTTCTATGTGGTAGGACGTGATTAGCTCGACATCATCATCATGCTTTTATCTACTTTGTTTGTGAAGTGGAAATGACATGACGTTTCGTCTTGCTGTCACAAATCTCTGTACTTCTCGTTTTCAATCTCTTGTTGTTCATTGGATAATGTCGAAACGTGCCATCTGATTTGCACAAACTGTCTTCAACGGATTATCTGTTTTATATAATCAAACACGCTTAATTGCATCTCCATTGGTGTTGTACGTAGGCCTTCATTTCCTCTAGGTTGCTGACTTAATGAAATCCTCTTTTCATCATACAAATTAGCTCACTAGTTAGTTGGTCGGGAACAATAATTATAAATTGTATTACCGATGCAATGAATTCCATCCATGTGGTCTTTATGACTTTGTAAAACAATTTAGCTAAATCACAATACAAATCTTATCATAGGTGTGATTCCTGATAGAAAAAAATAAGGTAAGTCTTTTTAGTCTTAGTGTTTAGTTATTTACTGAGTGTATGGACGAAATAAATTGTCAGCTAAATTTGATCATTGCTTGTTTTTCTCAGCTTCGGGATCTGAAAGTACGAGTGCAGAAACTGAAGCTGAATCCTCTGAAGAAAAAAAAGCCGAGAATTCAAGCGAAAGTACTGAAAAGGTGGTAGAAAATGAGAATTCAGCAGAACCGGCAGCTAAATTATCAAAGCTTGAATCAGAATCTTCATCGTCGTCTTCAGCGGTTCAAGTCTCTTCCTTCCTACCATCTCTCAATGACGTTGCTCAAACCAGTTTCGTAGTTCGAAATATGGCCAGAAGTGGGGGACCCACTACTGTTATCCCATCAGTTGTCCCCTCGGTGTTGCCGCCGACTACATCATCAGCAGCCATTCCCTACACTCTGATGCAGCACATAGTCTCTCTGCAACAGCAACAACAACAACAACAGGCTCTACTAGCATCTGCTGGTTTGATACAGCCTTTTATGGATGCTGCTGCTCAGCAACAACAGTTGTTGGAGCAAATTAAACAACAGCAGATGCTTGCTTCGACCGCTATTTTTCTCCAGCAACAAAATCAACACCATTTACAGCTTCAACAGCAGCTTCAAGCTGTCTACGCAAGTGCTATTCAGCAGCAACAGAACCAACAAGCTCTACAGCAACATCAGAGCCAAAATGGTGCTGCCAATCAGCAACCGGGTAGCAGTGGGCAGTGATGGCGCATTTGACTAACGTTACTATGATAGATATGTATCACGAGCTTGTCTGCGTCCTTGTTTTGTTACCTTCTATCTCCTCCCCCTTATCATTGGGCCAAACAAATACTGTTGTTTAAGCGTATAGTGGCCCACTATTGTTTCATTGATAGTGCACATTAATATCAAATGTGAAAAATGAAAGTGTCTTGTGGTTGTTTAGAAATTGGAAAAGTTTATATGTTAGATTAAGGCAGTGGAAGTAGTGCATTGTATCTGGTGAAAATTACATATTAGGCCTTTAACGCTCGAATTATTTTTAAAAATGCATCCAACCGCACTCATGTGTGTATCACAGCAGACTGTTGCCGCCGACGTGATGAGTTTTGGTGGCTATCGACACATTAAACACGTTTGAAATGGCAGTAGCGCCTTCTGTTACGAGTCTAGTACCAATGGAACTTATTTTGAAAGTGGACCGTAAAATCAAATCCCGAGGCCTAAGTTGCGTGAAATTGCTGTATTTTCCTCTCCTCTCATTGCTTTTTTTCGACTACTCCTAACGCATTTGTTAGACATTCTGTTGACCCATCCCACTTGTTTCCCCAAATTCAAATAAAATAGCGAAGTGCTGTTCTTATTACTGATTAATAATCCGCTAAATTCGCTTTAACTCTCTCCGACCGTAAGGTGGGCCAAAGCTTGACCTTTGAAGCAGGCAATGTCAAAATTGTGGATTAGGAGACCAAACTGGAGAAAAATTACGAAATCAAATTAAAGAATTTGCTCAGTGTCCAGGTTACGGGATGATTCATGATCGTCAGGCGGTTTTTTCATTTGTATATACGATTTTAAGGAACTGAAGCAATGTGTCCTAGTTTTATCGATTTTATTAGACCACGGCCGAGATTTCAGGATAAGAAATTTATACAAGTCGAGTGAAAAGAATTAGAAGCCGAAATGATTTGTGGGAATAACTCGGGCCTCGACAAAATATTGCCTGAGAATCCGATTCAGTCTTTAGCCGAAATTGGGCCAAACCTGGTGGGTGAGCTGAATAATTAATAAACCACACTCGTAGAATTCCAAACCAAATGGTCAAAATTTTTGGCTGAAAATCAATACCATTTCAAAAATGAAGAAATGCGATAAATCCATATAGCCAATTTAAAAATATTACGAATTTAATTAAAGCAGCACCTCCACGTGGCATCATGAAGGAGGATTTGGACGGGTATTAAAACATGAATGGAATCCCTGAGTTTCAGCTAAAAGTTATATAGGGGAATACTGCTTATTTTACTCCGCTAATTAAGGTTGTAATCAGGAAGTTTTAACTAAGTTCGTTTATATGGATATGTATATTCTGCTCATTTAGTCACAACTTGGGATTGCACTATGCTTGAGAAGTGAGTTTGATATAGATCGATTGTTAGGAACTAAGAGGTGTGTGAAAGTGCTCAAAACGTGGAATTAGCTTTCCCATAAGCTGTCCTTAATTTTATTAGCACCCAGCTGTGACTGCATGTAGTTTCTAAACTACGTAGCGAGAAGACGCTGTCGGATGTTTCATTAATTATGCAATGTGAATTTTAGAGGTTCGAAAAAATTGCAATTCCACTGAGTATATTTGTATTTAAATGTAATTATTCGTTTGCTATTTGCTGCTTCGATATTAAAATGGTGCATTTCATGCCTGATAGGTTTGATCGTAACAGCTTGTATAATTTGTTTACTTTTGACGGGAGCTAGGAGTAAAGCTGCTGTCAAACCTCGCATGAAATGCGGACAGGTGGGAGGAAATCACTTTAGGGACAAATTAAATGACATTCGAATTTCGAATAATTAGAAATAATTGAGTTTGGATCCTGCAGCCAATATCAAGATTAAAAATAACATTATCTGCCTTCGAGAAGTTAAATGACCTTTCGATCAAATTAAACTTATCTAAGCTTTTAATTCTATCCTTGTCTTTTAATGTAGTGTGGTATTTTATTTACGTTTGAAATTCCTTTAGCATTCGGATTTGATTAATCCACATATAATCCCTCCATAACGTAATCGTTTCTAGATGGAAAAATAAAAAATAGTCTATGCTGAAATAACTTCACAATCACAAGGTCAGTGGAAATTTTCGAATTCAAAAAGGAAAAACTGTACTGTTTAGTCAGGTACTTCATATTAGTTCTCAGGGTGATTGATAAGACCATCATATTTACCACGAATAATGGTGTTCGAAAGGAAGTACAGTGAAAAAACTGCTGATATGATTATTGATAGCATTCATTCAAACAAAAGAGTCTGATTACTTGTACAAATGCCGGGATATTGAGGATATTAAACTCTAATTACGTCATGGAAGGTGCGTCGAAAGACAACGAAGATAATTTGACTTGTTTTAAAGTCTCATTTATTGGTATAATACCCCGATTAAATTATTAGGAGATTTTCGGTTTTGACCCAGTGATCAGCTTATATTATAACAACTGGAAATAGTAAGTGGAACAATTCATTAAAAAAGGCCAATTTGGATGAATAATGCAATAGATAATTAACAAGAATCCATTTTGGGGAGTAGGAGATTTTATACCATACACTTAGAATTATTCAGTTTTTCCAGCTCATAAAATATTTAAAGCTTTTAGAAAGAAAGCCATAAAATATGAAATCTTCTCGGTTGAGTAATCGAAAATAAAGAAAAGATTGTGACTGACTCTAGCAAACTGATCAAACCACTATAAATTAACTAGAAGTAATGAGTCCGAAATTTTCGGTTCATCCGATATTAATTGACGGTAAAATTTGTCTCAGGCGTAAAACATGAGTCCTATATTCGGAATTGCAACCTATAAATAATATTTAAATCACACAACTTCAACAGAATAGGATGAAAGCCATTAGGATCGAATGCGTAGCTGATCGCAAACTACCTAGCCTTGATTTACGCTCATAAATATCTATGGAAACACCTCCGCCTTTTAGGAATGGCTCCCAGGATAAACTAAGCCGTCTTAGGAATATTGAGGAGCAGAGGTATGGCATGAAACACGTTTATTTGGGCTTTGTGGCAGTGACACGGAGCTTAGTCATGAAATAAAGTGCCGTTGGCCATGGTTAGTTGTTGATTGGCTGAGATGTCTCTGCTCTCCGCATGCGTCCCCAAGTGGAATTAGTATTGCACCCTCACCCCCTTCCTTAATGTTCAGGCGCGCAAAGGGGCCCTTGATTTTGCCATGAAAGCATTGTGTCACCCCACATATGACACACCGAATGAACGAAATAAAAGACTTCCACATAGGTGGTGTCGAAATGTAACAAAGCGTGTGGGTACTTGAATCATTGGCCTATAAACTAAAGGTGTGATTAAATTTGCTAATAGTGAATATGGAAAAGTAATTGACCACGTGATTCAATAAACTTAAATTTAAACTTAAATATCACTTTTCTTTTCAACGAAAGTTTGGTTCAACGAACATCTCTGTTAACAAATATTGCATGGATTGCCAAAGTATATAAATGTAATCATCTCCATTTACGAATAGGCGTTCACGTGGTTTATACAATCTGAAAAGGTAAAGAATAGCCTAAGACTTCAACCATGTCAATTAGACCCATGGAGATTAGAATTTCTCCTAGCTTATTGAATGTTCATCTTATACGGTGTATTAAGGATGAAATTCTGATCTTATTTTTCGTAAGATCTGATGAATACAGAAATTTATCATGAACACTCATTATGAAACATTTGACTCCTTTCTGCAAGGGATAAGATATGGTTTATATTAACACATTTAACAATTACCGCTCGAATTATAAATTTAAAAATGTACCCAACCACACTCACGCGTATCTCACGGCAGACTAATGCCGACGTGATGAGTTTTGGTGGAATCATGCGAAGACTGTAGGCACATTGAAAATGTTTCAAACAGTAATAGTGTCTTCTGTTACGAGTCTAATACCAACAGAGCTTATTTCAAAAGAGGACATTAAAGGGTTAACAATAAACTATATCAAATTAGTTCTTTACCCATCTATATGAAGCGAAACCATTTCACTACCAAATTTAATGTAACTTTAAAATTAAATTATAAAATTTACTAAGTGATAAAAGTTGAACGTGAAATTTTTCAACTGCTTAAGATGGCTTACAAAGCTCATTACCAACAACGTCAATTTATTGAAATCAAGTTTACTTTCTTAATCTAGAGTATAATGATCTATCATCGAGGAAAGATTGCCGACTCGAACATAGACCCAAAAAACTCAATGAGCTAATGGAATTTTGAGCATAGGTATATTGACAAATGCGTTTGACTTCCAATCTCCTAACCTACTTTGAGATTTGCATTAGATTGACTGTTACTGTCTGTGAAGTAGTTCATTCTCTATTGATAAATCACCAAATCGATCGATAGGAAAATGCTTAAAATTGCATTAACAGTAAAATTATAGGTTAGCTTTCGCTCAGATCTAATAGAATAATTGGCAGTTCATCAATTAATTTGTAAATTTCAATTTATGAACCATGCCTTAATTACTTTACACTGAAAATTGTCATTCCAAGTAAAAATGGTTTACTAAAATACGTATTTGAGAGTAATAAGAAGTTGGATTTTTGTTTGTCATGGAATTAGATGTTGGATGTGGAAACAGAAAAAATAATTTCATTCCTAAAACCATATAATTCGCATTAGTTTTGATATTTTAAGAACTTTCATTGTTTGCGATTTCTGAGGTGTGCGATAGGCTTACCTCCACGTGATACGCCCTGGGCAACGTATACTCATACGGCAGAAATATCTATATACTGGTAGTTGACTTCTCACTTCAAACTACCATGATCCCACTGTATGTCATATTTGACTACTTCCACAGAACTCACCTCACCCTTTTTTCTAACTTTGTGTCTGTCTTTTTTACATCTTTGAAATGATCTTCTGCCCCCCCCCCTCCTTCTCGACTTTTTTTAACTTTGATGTTCCTTTCCCTCTGTGAAGCCTGAAGTCAACTAAAAGGCT